GTTGCTTTGATTCAATGCGCAACAATGGCAACTGAGGTCGTCAAGGTGGCAACTGAAAGCGAAGAGGACGTAATAATTAATTACGTGGCAATCTTTTATGAAGAAGGAAAGGAAGGGGAGAATTTCAGAAGAGCTGTCTTTCTAACAATCGTCTTCTCCACTGAATGTGAACTCTTTACAAGACAAGAAGGTCACAATTCCAGAAGAAACATTTATTCCGCGTTCGACAACTAGCACAGGGTCGTCCAAAGTAATCAGTCACCCAATGTAAGATGTACAGGATCAGTGACAGAGTTTTTCAAAGTCAAGGGAGATATCAATACTCGTACAAGTACGTGACCAGCATACTTGGCATTTGGTTAGTAGTAAATAGAGTGTAATAGTGTAGTACAATATATCGTTAGTGTTATAATGGTATGTTTGATACTAACGCACAATGTTATCAGAATATATCATAAGTCTTGCTGACGTCAGCTTTCATATTGTGGCCTACATGTACGCGCGGTTTCAGTATTCAGGAAAAAATCCGATGCGGTTTGCGGTTTTTGGGCGTATTTCCGTGCGGTTTTGCGGTTTTCGGACCCCCCTTACGCTCCCCTCGTGTAACCTGTGTGATGCAGGATATGTTGGTTATACTCGTGGCCACCTTCACGAACGCGTTGATGGACACAGAAATCATCGTCAATTTGTAAAAATTATCTTAGCGAACATAAGTCGGATGTACCACCTTTCCTTTCAGAACAATTTCACGTGCTCACTAAAGGTTCTAACAAATATGATTGCTAATTAAGGAGGTGCTCTTTATAAGAAAACTCAAACCATCCCTAAACGTGCAGGCGGACTCGCTTCGCGCAAAGGTATTCAGTTGAAAAACTTGGGATCCTTTGTTATTATGCTAATTTGGAGACACTACAGAAATCAAATCTTCGCATTATTTATTCATTTTGCCTCGAGAATGGTGTCATGATGATACCGAAACGTCAGCTTTTAACATTAATATTCGCTTGCTTATGTTTTAAGAAATCGTTATTGATCAAGAATATGACAATTGAACGGAAAAAAGGAATACTCCGAGCTAGAGAAATATTTTGGCAAAGTTGGCTGAACAAAAATAAGCCTTTTTCATTACTTTCAGCATGGAGAAAAGAGAGCGTAGTAAGCCATGAAAGTGTTAAATTATAGAGCAACAGTTCAGGCCATCTTCGATCATCAGGCGATTTATAACTCAAGTAAATATCGGTCAGTTCAACCAGTTCTTACAGATGGGTCTCATTATTTTCATGTGAAAGGCACCATGATGGCAGCCACTTTGAACTGTGTTCTGAAATATTTAATTTTTTTCCTGTTTTCTATTGGCATCTGTGATCATAATAGAAACAGTCTCTTCTAACAACGTTAAGTTTGTGCCGAGGGATTTACAGCATATTAAATAGCGGCATTTTCAGTACTCGGATTGTACAACAAGCAAATTCATCAACAAATATATTGCCATGCTGGGCGATTTCTGCATGGCACAAGCAAGGCCACTGTTGCCTTTTAATCCAAAAAAAAAGACATCACTGTCGATATGGATGTTGCTTCTTTGGTTTGGTGGATGTTTGCATCGAAAATTTTAACAGTCACTTCGAATCCTCACCACTGTCCTTGTCTTTGCACCTTCAGATGTGATTTACTGGCTATGCAAATCGACAACAACAATTGGTTTATTTCAGGGATGAGTTACTCTCTACTCACTTCGGATCTGCTAGATTGAAGCTATGCCCACAAATTTTGAGCCATTTGGAAATGAACGCATTACTGCGGTATCATGGAAAACGAGCTGGAAAGTCCAAAGGGTTTCTGGGTGACAACAAAGCGATACAAGTTAGAAATCGGCTACGCCATATGCCCAGCCTTCAACGTGCAAGAACGTGGACTCTCATATCTCTTACTTTCTGTGATTCTCCACGGCCTCCTACACTTTCTCACTTGAAACCGACTACAGCCAGTTTTGCTTGGTTGTGGCCGAGAGGAATTGTCTGTACTTGTGTTGTTGAAGGTTTGATATGTTTGTTTCATTGTGTCCTGGCAGTTTCCAATTGGTATATATTTTCAGTGACTACTTTTTTAGCTACATCCTTTGTGAACTGCAGGTGACATAATATTTTATTTCATTGGTTATTCCAATGTAAGAATGTGGAGGTTTAGGGGAAAAAAAAAGGAAGAAATTGAAATGTTAATTACGGGAGTTTTCACGCTAGGATATGTCTTATAGCACCATTCCTCCTCATTTTCTTGTTTCAGTGTCAGCAACCAGTAGGACTTGTTTACTTACCCTCTGCTGGTAAGTTATTTTCATTTACGCCTGTTAATTAGGGTTACTTTTTGTTTTGTAGTTCGCCCAGCAAATTAAAGAACTGAGAGAACAGTTGAATGCCCTTGAGGAAGTACAGATGTAAAGATTAACCTCTAAGTGGTTCAGAAGCTTGCTTCTGCTCCTCATCACGTAAGGGACCTCTACACCGTTTTGGTAGCCCTTCAGAAGCTGGCTGACAAAGTGCAGGTTTCTGTTGACTAGAGGGCATTGTGACATGAAACAATTCTTCACCAGACCAGACCCTCCTCTTCAGTGGAGTCTGGAGATATCATTATTCGTCTCATTTGTAGTGAAGAGGAGAGTAAAGTTCCCCCCTCTGTAGCCAAGATGTTCATACAACGGGGTTCCAGTGGTTTCCATCCATATGCCAGATGGAATCCACCACAACCCTCGTTCACTTACATTCGGGGCATCTTATCTTTTTGACCTAACAAAGTTGTCATTAACGCTGTGTGAATCACCACCTAGTGTTATGCAGAAGTGGTGTAACTGGGCGGGCAAGCCCACCAGTTTTGTAGGCCCAGTCCGCTCGCCTCAACATGTGGCTGCCTTATGCGTTCAGGCTAGTCCAAGCATGCTCGCCTCTAGACACTCGTCTTTTCTTTGGACAGCTTCTCAACAACATAGCTCAATGCATGTCCATTGCAGAACATTTCCCTCCTCAAAGGAACCAATGTGTTCTATTGGAGATAAAGTTAATGTTGGTTCTTTCGATGTTAGTGTATTCTGATTAAAGCTGTTCTTTTAAGTCATGGAATAGTATTGTATGTCCTTCATGGTCCCACACTTTCTGCAATCAACTTCAAACTCTTCAGTCAAACATTAATTACCGTGGAATTTAATGGTTACAACCTGCGAGTCAGTATTGTAAAATGTTAAAATGTGACCATCAAATAAAAAAAGGCAGAAGAAAACACTGTATTAGCTGGATCCATTTAGCTTGCTTGAATGCATCAAAATGCTCCTATAATCAGCAAACTTCTATATATTCATATTGCATACAGTATATAAAATATCATAAAAACATTACAAGATAAGCTAACTAACTCACCAGGCATTTGAGAACTTCGAAGCTCTTTTATTTCTTGCTTCCGCTTTTCAATAATCGCCTTGCACTTTCAACACTGATCAGTTTCCTCAGCACAGAATGGGCGGTTAATGTTTGCGTTTTGTTCTTTTTTAATGTGGTAGTTGTCATTGTCGTCAAACATTGTCATGTCCATTGCATGCAGTTCCATTCATGGTTTTTAGCGCGCCAACTATTTGCGAGACTAGGCCATATTTGCTGATATGGTGTGATCTGGGCGCTGTAGGTGGGACTGGGATGGCACTGGATTTGTCTGCAAATGCAACATTGGCTGTGCATGTGCTGGTGGCTGTAGTTGAGAGGTTTGCATTGTCTGCAACGGCCTCTGTGACACTGGCTGTACTGCATTTTCCAGGCCTACTGAGAATTTTGGGTATTTCTTGTTGACCATGTCTTGGAACATCCCTCCGGCAATTACCAGTTGACTGCACATTAGTCAGAATTATTCGTCTCATTTGTAGTGAAGAGGAGAGTAAAGTTCCCCCCTCTGTAGCCAAGATGTTCATACAACGGGGTTCCAGTGGTTTCCATCCATATGCCAGATGGAATCCGCCACAACCCTCGTTCACTTACATTCGGGGCATCTTACAATGGGCTGGTGTAAAGAACAGGGAGTCTGTTTTAACTGTGGTCAGTGCAGGAACTTCCAAAGACAGTGTACTTCTTTTTGACCTTACAAAGTTGTCATTAACGCTGTGTGAATCACCACCTAGTGTTATGGAGAAGTGGTGTAACTGGGCGGGCAAGCCCACTAGTTTTGTAGGCCCAGTCCGCTCGCCTCAACATGTGGCTGCCTTATGCGTTCAGGCTAGTCCAAGCATGCTCGCCTCTAGAGACTCATCTTTTCTTTGGACAGCTTCGCAACAACATAGCTCAATGCATGTCCATCGCAGAACATTTCCCTCCTCAAAGGAGCCAATGTGTTCTATTGGAGATAAAGTTAATGTTGGTTCTTTCGAGGTTAGTGTATTTTGATTAAAGCTGTTCTTTTAAGTCATGGAATAGTATTTTATGTCCTTCATGGTCCCACACTTTCTGCAATCAACTTCAAACTCTTCGGTCAAACATTAATTACCGTGGAATTTAATGGTTACAACTTGCGAGTCAGTATTGTAAAATGTTAAAATGTGACCATCAAATAAAAAAAAGCAGAAGAAAACACTGTATCAGCTGGATCCATTTAGCTTGCTTGAATGCATCAGAATGCTCCTATAATCAGCAAACTTCTATATATTCATATTGCATACAGTATATAAAATATCATAAAAACATTACAAGATAAGGTAACTAACTCACCAGGCATTTGAGAACTTCGAAGCTCTTTTATTTCTTGCTTCTGCTTTTCAATAATCGCCTTGCACTTTCAACACTGATCAGTTTCCTCAGCACAGAATGGGCAGTTAATGTTTGCGTTTTGTTCTTTTTCAATGTGGTAGTTGTCAGTCGTCAAACATTGTCATGTCCATTGCATGCAGTTCCATTCATGGTTTTTAGCGCGCCAACTGTTTGCGAGACTAGGCCATATTTGCTGATATGGTGTGATCTGGGCGCTGTAGGTGGGACTGGGATGGCACTGGATTTGTCTGTAAATGCAACATTGGCTGTGCATGTGCTGGTGGCTGTAGTTGAGAGGTTTGCATCGTCTGCAACGGCCTCTGTGACACTGGCTGTACTGCATTTTCCAGGCCTACTGAGAATTTTGGGTATTTCTTGTTGACCATGTCTTGGAACATCCCTCCGGCAATTACCAGTTGACTGCACATTAGTCAGAACTAGTTCTTCTACATCATGGTTTTCTTTGTCCACATTGGTAACTTCAGCTTTATCGTTCTCACTGCAGTTGAATAGCTGCATCGCCGTCTCTTTTGAGGCCGCCAACTTCGCATCATTTGACCAGGACTTTTTTACTTTTGTGACCTGCTTTTCACACTTGTCCTTGTCTGTGGTTGCTTTCCTTTTGCTTGTATATTTTGGCTTTGCCTTTTCTGTGTCTTTGCTTTCTATGGGAACAGCTTCTTGGCTGGTCAAGGAAAGTCCTCTCTTTCGCCTGCTTCAGTCGTGCAGCAAATTCAGCTACTTTCCTCTTTATTTCTTTTTCTGTCCCTATGTATGGATTAAGGATACGTGTTATGCCTGCAATGTTTACTGATGTCCAAAGAAAATAATCATGAACAAAAACATGCACATATGCAAATTGCGTGACACGTTTTTATTACACACGAGGGTTATGACGTGACAAACATACACGTATTGTGGACCTTATGGACTTAACTTTTACGAAAACCGATCAGAGTCTCTTGTCCTTCAGAAGAACTCTAGATCTTCTTAGTGCCTAAATTAGCAGCAGCATATTGTTACAACAACGTTTATGACAGCCTTCAGTTTATTTTCTAGTGTGAATAATATTGCTAATTTGTGTAATTATAAGACTTACTTGTGAAATTACTTTTTCACTATTTGAAACATCTTCAGGTAAGTTTTGGATATAAGTTTATATATAGTGTTACGTTGTATTTAATTTTAGTTCACACACATTTTATGTTTGTTTTATTTTTATACATATGTATGTGGATGCAATATGGAATTGTTAAACCGTTTTTCCCACCTAAAGCATACATGAGAAAATGTGCTCCAATGAAGCAATACTTCAGAAAAGCTTAGCTACTATCAACTAAGCAAACATATTTAGCGATGATTTAAGGTGAACTGTACCTGTTTCTACAACAGTAACAAGCCATTTCTGCGAAATGTTCTTGGAGAGGATAGGGTCAAAGTACTGCAATTCTGCTTGTAGCTCTTTTCCTTGCTCTGGTGAGCCATCAACCTTGGTTTCGTCGACTGCTGTGTACGATTCATCTTTTTTGCAGAAGACTAAGACCCACGTTGCAGAGGACATGGCAGTAGCTATTGATCGAGAATTGAATCATAAAAAATACAGAACATCTGCTAAATTTCAGAGTCAAACTGCCCACTTGAAAAAACCACGCTTTCCCAGCTCACAGGTAGAGAACTAAGATATTTAAGATACGTTATTTCTGACGAATGAGCCCACGAAAAGGGCAGAAATAAATATTTTGACGGCACGAGATACAACGGGGCCTGGGGCTAGGCCGGGGGCACCATGGGTAGCCACGTCGGGGGTACATAAGGCTGCGTATATCACGTGTGCGTCATCTAGGCTTATAAACCAACCTCTCTTTGGTTTTTCTTAAATTTTTTGCTTTATTTATTTTTAGGATCAAAGTCCCGTAGGAAGGGCTTTGAGCTTGAGTCTTGGTTGCTACTCAGATTCCCTGCCCGCGTTTTTTCCCTTCAGGTTTTTTTTGGGCAAGTTTTTTCTGGCCTCTGTCTGACTGCATTTACTTCAGTTTGTAAGCAGTAGCTCAGCTCTGCTAGTTTTCAGCTTTTTTCTCGTTTCTTATTTTATGTACTTGTACAGTTATCTCAGTTTTACGCCTGCTCCTTTACTTGATATATTTAGTTTCTATGTATGTTAGGTCAGCTGTCCCGGAACCGCTTTTTAGGAGGCGACATAAATCTCGTTTCATGCAGTTAGGTTGCAGGCAATGTTACAGACCTCTAGACAGGGTTCATTATCCATTTGTTTATACCCTCAATGTCCTGCCCTAGCCTTTTATGGCAACCTTACAGGTTATTGGGCTACCTGCCTCACGGTTGGGTACATTAGTGGAGATAATTCCCAGTTTTCCTGGCACTCAGCTTCTGTGCTCCTGAAGTGTTCCCGGTCCCAGTTATCCGTTGATCAGAGTTTTATTAAATTTTCCTAGCCTAACTGGCACTAAGCCTGCGTACTTATTTGGGGGATTCAGGTCGAGATCGACCAGTTGTAGAAGTTCTTTCTTTTTGCTTAGCCTCTAGGCTCCTACCGTGTTCCCTTTGCCAGTTATCCGTTGTCAAAGTTTTATTAATTAGTTTCCCCAGCCTAACTGGCAGCCTAACTGGCACTAGGCTTGCGTGCTTATTTGGGGGATTCAGGTCGAGATCGACCGGTTGTAGCAGTTCTTTCTTTTTGCTTAGCCTCTGTACTCCTCCTGTGTTCCCTGTGCCAGTAATCCGTTGTCAGAGTTTTATTAATTAGTTTTCCCAGAACAACTGGTAGCCTAACTGGCACTAAGCCTGCGTGCTTAACTGGGAAATTCAGGTCAAGAGCGACCATTTGTAGCACAAGTTTTTTCTTTTTGTGAAAGCTAGTGTACTAGTGTTGTACATTAGGTATTCACCAGTAATCACCTATTATTGTATTTACATAAGTACTTTATGGGGTTGGTTCTCACCAAGCCGTCCCAAAATAAAGTTATTTGCCATTACGTTTTGTCTGTTGATGTTGTGTAGAGGAGTCAAAATATAAGGTTTCCTAGCTGTCCCTTTTTAGATTGGCAGGTAACTTGATATCAGGAGATCGTAAAAGGCGACCTCTAAGATTTCATATCCAGTTACCTTGCAAGATAAGAGCATTCAAAGTTCCACTTGTAGAATTGCAAATACAAATCCACTATGTCAAAGCGAAAAGGACGCCCAAAAGCAACTGTCAAATGAAGTAGACCTACCTTATTTCTAGTTTCATCCAATTCCCATGATGATGAGATTACATATATACAGAACCAGCCAAGTTATCACTACGAAATAGCTGAAACTTTCATCGCTTCTTCCCAGAGGCAAATTGATGAACCAGTAGAGTCAATAGTCAAAGAATACAACAACACACAACACAACAACAACATTCCATTGGCTCTTGTTCTGTAGAGAATACCCCATCCAATACTGAGGCAGAAGACGGTGGTGTGGCACTAACAGACGATTTGTGCTGTGTAGATTTTCAACACAAACAAGACGACGATAATCAAAGTGGCAATGATATGGTTTTTTGTCATGACGAGGAGACAGTAAATCAATTAACGGACAGTACCTTGTACTAAGAAATGGTAAAAGATTTATCGACTGGAAAAGGCACAGATGGCGTTTCTGAAAGCAAGGACAAATGGAACGAGGAGGTGGTAACAAATGTGCAAGACTATTTTTCCAAAGAACATTCCAATATGGAAAAAAACTTCTTGAGGCAAGAGAGTGATTTCGGAAGTTTGATCAGTGGACCCCAGGACACTGACTTTTCAGACTTTTCTGGTTTTGAAAGTAATTCGGATTAAGTTTACAAGCAACAACAAGCCGATCAAGACCAGTTTAAATATTCCGGAGCAACAATTACTGTGGGTGTCAGTATGATTCTGATTATTACCTTCTATACACGGTATCAATTGTCTGGGGAGGCAATACCAAATCTGTTAAAATTAATTAAGTGTAGATTGTGCTGATTTCTACCCTGGCTTACAATCGCTTCATGACTTCATGAAGTACTTTCACCACCTAAAGAACCCAATAATTTGCCATAGATACTGTTCACATTGTTTGCTGCTCCTACATGATGGGCATGAGCACAGAGTGTGTCCAAACGATCTTTGTCAACAAGATTTAACAAAACACGGCTCCACATCATTTTTCATTGAAGTTCCTGTAGCAAAATAAATCTAAAGCCTATTTGCAAAAGATGGCTTTTTTGATGATCTTCAATATAGATTTAGGTGCACTCAGCACGCAGGGCAAATTAGCAACATATATGATGGCCATATATACAAGCCTCTGTTTGAAAACAATAGTTTATTGAGCGACCCAAAAAAA